TTCGCTTTTTCTTTGTAAATATTCCATTAGCTTTTGGGGAGGGACGGAAGCTAACGAAAGAAAATATTATGGTAAAGGATAGAAAGAAGCTTTAATGTGTGTAGGGATAAAAACAAATACACAAACATTTGACTCAAATAAGATACTTGTCTTGATATAGGCCTGAAGAAAGGCTGACTGGCCGTTTTAAAGATGAACTCACAAGTTACTTTCTCTTTCGTGTGTATATCGTGCATGCCTTTTACACAGGAATTTACGAAAATAACACACTCAGTTTCCTGTACGTCAGCATTTCTTCCTAACATATCATATTCGTCAGCAAGAAAAGAAAAATAAATTATACTGCAGCTTTTGAAAGAATATCGAAATGTATGCATAAAAGTAGCGAGACTTGGAGCCCTTCTCTTCATCTGCCTGCCTCTTTCGTGAACATAATAAAATATAATGCATGTCCAAAATTCTTTCAGCTTTCCATACGTCTCCATATCGGAATAAAACATTATTTTTCATATAAACAGTGTGTAATACGGCATACATGATGATTGCACATGATACCAAATCATAGTTCTCTGAATTTATTCGTACTCCTCAACACTGCCCAAACCAAACAAATATAATTAACTTTTATTATCAAAGTATCCGTCAACAATGCAACAATAATGCAACGTGATGCTAAAATATAAACAAATAGTTAACTGTCTTTGTTCATTGTCGTACGTAATTGGAACAGGAAGGAAAACAAAGGAAGTGGTCATAGTCTGTTATGACCAGGGCCCGGATTCTGATGACATGTCATCTTTTTTTCCTTGTATCCTATGCGATGCTCTTAAATATATATCTCGGATATGAGCTGCTGGTTACTGAAATATAAATTTTATAGGTAATTTTTTGTCTTTTTTTGACATTTTTAGGTTTAAGGTTTTTTTTTCATTTTGGGGGTAATTTTTTGGTAAATTTTTGGACTTTTAAGGGTATTTCTTCTCATTTTTGGCCATTTTAGGGATTTTTTCTTCATATGTTTTCTGAAATGTGAATAACATGAAAGCGAAATGTTCTTTCTTTTCTCCTTTAGGTCATTTTCTGGATTTTCTCGATCATTTTATAGGTCATTTTTTTATATTTTCAGGTCATAAAAATCCGGGCCCTGGTTATGACATTCGTAGGAATAGCTTTAAATTGTTAAGAGAAATATAAAATCGGTTATTTTTAAGTATTCTATATTTGTAAAACTTTCTGTTAGCTAAACAAGAAAGTGATCATTACTAAAGCCCGTCATTGGAAACAATCCCTATCCTTCCCAGCTCACACACTGACAGTTAAGATGAACTTAATTTTGATTTTCAGTCCTCTTCTAGATCTCTCAAGTATACGCTTTCCAGCTGGTTTCCTCACCATGTTTCCCTAGGTATTTATTGCCGTTTCAAGAAATTGTGTGGGTCTCGGATTTGAAAGAATATTTATTGCACGATCACTCTTTACACTCACAAATACAATTATTCGTACTTATAGCGTCTTCGGACGTTTCTTCTTCAATGTTACAACACTATTGCACCGCCAGTCTCGGTGAAGTGTCTTCTGCTCGGAGCTCAACTGTCCTTAGCTCTCGTCGGATACGAAACTAACTCTGCTCTAATCGGATACGAACTGGTCCCTTGTCGGATACGAACTGTTATATCCTGCACTCGGACTGAATAGGGAATACCTTGTCGAAGGGTAAATTTCGCCCTCTGCTATGCAACGAAAGCGAGAATACGTGTATGCCTCAAACAATTCATTTGTAAATAACGGTGGAAATCCCGCTGTTAGACTTTCATCTCCGTGGCAACGATTTCCTAGATATCGCTGCCTAAGACTTGCTAGCCGTTGACTAGTGATGGACGTCTTATAGTCCGTCTTTCAGGCAGCACGTCCCAATATTTTAGATATATGTTCCTACTTTGCTGTGAAGCACTCAATGAAATAAACTGTGAATAATGTTTAAAGATTACAACTATGCCATCAAGTTGAACATCATGGGATTATGCATCCATTAACGTAGCAGTGTAAGCGATTATATTCCGCGTTGTTAAATGAAAATAATGTAATCAATGGGTTTCAATTATTTTAATGTACACGATATAGTTTTATACTGACATTAATGTCATTACGTTTCTAGTTGAGCCTGTTTTATTTAACTGGAGGGAAAGTTGTAATAAAATATTCTAACCTGTCGGACGAGGCAAGAGTTGGCGTCTCCATGCAGTATTGTCCATAATCATGCCTGCTTATAACTACAGCGTGTAAACACGTAAGTAATGTCTAGGTAGACCCGGGGTTTTCAGTTTTATTTTATTTAAGTACACCTATCCCGTGTGGAGGCGGGACCGTCTGTAGTCACTCTATCACATGACAGTATATACTGAACTGATCCATATGCACGCCTCTTATGAGCATATTTTGAAAAAGAAAGAAACCTAAATCTTTATAAACTAAACCATATTCCGTGATAAATACTAACTACACTCCTCATTCTCTTATCAACATATCGGTAGTCACAAAATACACACGATACACTGAAACAAAAAATATTGCTTACGCGTTTGTGATCTAATACGTAAGTTACGTTCATGAAACTTGTTAACGTTCGACATTTAGTTGCTGTGGTATATATTAATCACATAATTACGACTTGGGCTCGCCATAGCTCAAGCGGTTAGTCGCAGGGCTTCCCACAGCGGCGGCCCGGGTTCGATACTGGGTCTGGTCAAGTGGGATTTATGGTGGACTAAGTGGCGCTGGGGCAGGTTTCCTCCGAGTACTTCGGTTTCCCCTGCCAATCTACATTCCACCAATTGCTCCACAAACACCCTCACCTATCATCTGGGGCTGGTACAATAGGCCAGAAGTGGCCGCAGTGAAAGGGACTTAGTCCCACCCCACTAGCAATAAGAAAAATGACGACTTCATTTTCTTAGGTAAATATTAGGCTTAAATCAGTCGGGTTTGTGTTCGTGAGTTTTTTGTGACGGCAAGGAACTAGCTATCGTGATTCGTTTGTGTTTTTCCTCAGTCAGCCCAGGCAAACTGCGGGTTAATACTTCAATTAGGCTATGACCTATTCCTTCAAAATTCTTTCCAATTCATTAGTCACCTATTAGCTTACCATTTCTCCGAATTAATGACACAAGTGGTAAAATAGACTTACACAATTCATGGAGCTGAGCCCTTCTTGAGAAGCCGCCAATTCTGCAGCTACTCAAGAACTTCCCAGCATTTTATGAAACCCGAAGGTTCATTACCGTGTTCACAAGAGCCCTCCACTGTTCACTATCCTGAGCGAGATCAATGCAATCAATACCATCCCATCCTATCTCTCTAAGATCCATTTTAATATTGTCCACCCACGTACGTCTTGGTCTTCCTAGTGGACCCTTGTTGTAAGATAAAAGAGGAGAAAATTGCCTACATCTTATCTTGTGATGTGACAATTGCGTTGTCTTAGTAAAATAAAATATTAGTGTCCGTTAAGCGTTCATGTACATTCATTTTCTCGTCATATTTCCAGTATATTAATAATAAAGATTTGTGAAATATTAAGTTCATCAGTTGTTTTGTCTGGTTGTAAAACGTAGTCTGTTATCCTATGGCGATAAAATAAATATCTCGTGTTTAAAACGAAGTATTCAGGCATACATTTTCGCCTTTGTCTGAAGTAAATGAGCAGCTTTGGATACTACACAACGATTAACTCTCCTCTGCACGTACTGCCTACTATCTTTCGGATACAGAAATCTAGGAATCTGCTGTGGGCTGAGTGTATAGCTAAGCTAGCAGTGACAAGGAAAGCATACAGAATTAATGTTAATTAATGTTAATTGTTTAGTAGGTGCCTCATCTTACAAAGTGTTGTCCGTACTGCAGGGAATGTAAACAACGGCTACATCTACGTCACGAGCCTCCTATAAAATCTTATATACAAAAAGAAAAAGAAAAAAATATATATAGAATATTCCAATTTGTCCATGGGAACGTACGAAAATAGAAAACCAACGACTGATTCGATGTTATAAACATCAATTAAAATATTATTCTTGTTTTATACTATAACTTCTGTTTTTTTATATAATCTGATTTATTGTATTTTTTACGTAAAGTGTTTTATATGTTTCATAGTATTGTATCCAGTTTAATAGTACTGCTGTTCAGTGGTGTATATATGTTAACCATGTATTTGCCTGATGATGGCTATTGATAGCCGAAACATGTAGCAGAGCCATAGTTGAGCACTGGCCTTGATATTTGTTGTGTTGTGACGGTTAATAATGAAGTTGTGTACAGAATTTTAATGGGGAAACTTCTTGGAAGTGATCTCACTGAAGAAAGAGGAGGAGGCTGGTGAGTAACATGAAGATATATGTTAGGGAGATAGGTTGTGATGATGGGAGATGAGCGGAACTGTCAGCTTGGGCTTTACAGTGTTCAGGTTTGGAAGCCTCCTACCAGAGTGTTAGTTAATTACTAAGAAGAGGCATAAATTATTTATACTGGGTCAATGTTCTTTTGTTGTAATTAATATAAAGTAATTCTCATACCTTCTCACGTGATCAATTTTATATTTTAAATTTGTACATTCAAAATACTTATTTCTTAAAAGTATTTACAAGGCGTTCAAGACCGTTGAGTATATCGCTTCTGTACGGTGTGATAAAATAATTTATATTATTTAAACATGTCTATGATTATTTTAAAGCAGGTACCTTAAAATTTTAAAGCACATAAATAATTTAATTCTCGGATATTTTCTTTCCTTTATTAGCTGAAATAACATCTCTTCCAAAGACATAAATTTCCACTTGTCGTAATTCCAACTTACGTTGGGATAAAAACTAATTTTCTGTTCCATTACACTAGATCTACTTGCCAATTACAGTTAATTTCTTATATATAACAAAATAATATTTTGAATGTAAGTGTATGTATGTAAGGCATAAAGCATTTCTCATAATAATGTTTATTCTTGTAAAAGCACAAAGCACATAATTTGTGCATGATCGTTCCATATTCATTCACAATTATAATAAAGAAAATATAATACACATAGGTTCAAATATAGTATATTAATAAGGAGAATATGTTATTCCCAGTGATATAATATAAAATCACTTCCTTATTAATAAATTTTAACCCTGCTTATCCAGTAGTTGAAACAAAACAATTTGAATATATTTGATAGCTAAAGAAATCCGAGACAAAATGCTGTATGCTGTTGAAACATAACCTTACAACTTAAAATAATTAAATGAACGTATCTGATGTTCTTCAATAAAAATTATACAAATTTTAATCTGATCTGTAATGCCTGAAGAGATTTGTGCATATTACGGGCCTCTGGTGACATTCGCTTTCCTGGAGGAAGTCCAAAATTAGGATTTTCTGGAAATCTTGTTACCTCTCAGGCAAGATGTCAACATTAGGCTTTCAGGTCGAAAGATCAGCGTTTATATACAAAACCTCTGTCTTCATTTTCTCTCTTGAGGGCCTCAGACAGTACAGCAGACAGAACAATGTTGATTACCTGCAGGGAACAAACAAAATGAGAGGTGTTAATAAAATCTCTTATAACTTAAAACTGCTTGTAAAAGGGTGAATGAAGGGTTACCTATTTTGATGGGTCTACAGAGCTTAGTTGATAAGAAGACTGATTATGGATTGAACCCGGCACTGGGAGACGCCCTATTTAGTGGGTACATGGGACTTTCCCTATGGGGTAAATACGGGGATTGGAACTTTAATAGTGGCAACACTGCTGTAGAGACGCCATGCAACGGAACCAAATAATGTCGCTTATACCACACGTTAGTTACATACCTACCTTACCTCAGAGCAAATGGACTCTCCCTTACCACGTCACGCGCATGCGCAGTGACGAGAAGAACAGAGCTTCGTGTTAGCTGGCGGTCTAATGTAGTGTTGTCACGAAGTTTTCGAAACAGGAGCAACGGAGTTGGATAAAGATTGAATGCGCCAGAGGCCGTACAGCACGACAGTGTCATCAAGGTCTTCAAGAGGCTTGCGGGGAATCTGTATTGCCTTACAGAACAGTGGCAAGGTGGGTAAAAGCCTTCAACGAGGGAAGACAAAATGTGGCACACATGCGTCGGCCAGATCGTCCTAATGTCAGTGAAGAAGTTTATGCTCTTTCCGCGTTACTGGAGTGTGATCGACGCCATACGTTTCGTGAGGTGGCCCGAGAGACAGGATTAGCGCGTACGACTGTGCTTCACATTCTCAAGGAACGCCTGGGCATGAGAAAAATTGCATCACCAGGGGTTCAGCATGATTTGACGGAAATGCAGAAACGGCTACGATACGACGCTGCTCCCCAGCAATGTGAAAGTTATGGTGATTCTCGTGTATGACTGTGATGGTGTTATCATAACGCATACCGTTCCACGACAGCAGACCGTCAGTGCGCAGTATTACTGTTCATTTTTGGAACACAACCTGCGACCAGCTTTGAGAAAGAAGCGGCGACACTTTCTGCAGAACCCACCCATCATTTTGAAGAACAATGCTCGGCCGCATGCAGCGCAAGCTGTGGCTGATTTGTTCGATCTATGGGGCTGCGAAGTGCTATACCATCCACAATACTCCCTGGACTTAAGCCCTCGTGACTTCGACTTGATTCCTAAGATGAAGAAACAACTTCGTGGCATTCGCTTGAGAACTGTTCCAGAGATTCTTTAGGCAGTAGACCGCTCCATTCGAACTATCAACACAACAGGTGCTGCTAAAGGTATCCTACGAGTTCCACATCGCTGGCAACGGGTTGAACACAATGCTGATGACTACATTGAAGCACAGTAAAACTTTGAAACATGGTCTATTTTGTATTAATTGTAAATAAATAGTTGCCATTATTAAAGTTTCAACCCTCGTAAGTTGGAGCGTGGACCTGACCACTCGTTTCATTCTAATGCCGAGGTTTATAATCTGTTTATCTTCACCTCTACTCCAACTACATGCGTTCGCAGAAAAATTTACGCCTCAGGTATTTTGATGAAAATCCAAAGTTATGCTGTATCCTGAGCCTTCCAACATTTGTAACAATAATTGATCCAGTATACAGAGATTATATTGCCAATTGTGCCGAGTATGTTTGGTATACTGAACGTGTCGTGTGTCAGTTTGCATCAGGTGCAGTGGCGGAAGGGGATTCTATTTTCATACCGTCAGCTAATCTCGATCAGTGGACCAACGAAATCGGCTCCCGCCATGAGACCTGATGATAGAAGTCGATTCTGTTTACGAAATATTGTGTCAAATATAAACGACAATGAATTAGCTGCCGGTCTATAATGATGACGTCCATCTACTGGAGATAATGCGAATCTCACAAAGAAAACCACGAATGCTGTAATTTTAGCTCATGAGGAGGTTGGTGTAGAAGCAAACACAGAGGAAACTAAGTGCGTGCTGATATATCGTCACCAGAATGCAGGGCAAAGTCATGACATATAGATAGCCAATAGATTCTTTGAAAATGTGGTGAAGTTCAAATATCTGGGAACGACAATAAGAAATAAAAATTTGACTCATCAGGAAATTAGAAGTGGATTGAATTCGAGCAATGCTCGTTACCATTCAATTCAGAACCTTTTATATTTTCGTCTGTCGTCTAAAAACGTACAAAATAATACACATAAAAATATAAATTTGCTTGTGGTTTTTTATGGACGTGAAACTTGCTCTCTGAAATTAAGGGAGGAACATAGACTGTGTGTGTCTGAGAACAGGGTGCTGAGGATAATATTTGGACCGAAGAGGAATGAAGTGACAGGAGGATGGAGAAATTGCATAATGAGGAGTCTCATAACTTTTACTTTTCGCCAAAATAATTAGAAAGGGCAAGTTAAGGAGTATAAGATGGGCTCCTCATGTAGCACGCGCGTTGAATATTGTGAATATAGGTAGGATATTAGTGGAAAAGGCTAAGAACGAATTGGGGGCTCTCTTGAACCTTCGGTTTCCATAAAATATCCCGGGTCTGGTCAAGTGGAATTTGTGGTGGACAAAGTGACGCTGGGGCAGGTTTTCTCCGAGTACTTCGGTTTCCCCTGCCAATCTTCATTCCACCAATTGCTCCACAATCACCCTCACCTATCATCTGGGGCTGGTACAATAGGCCAGAAGTGGCCGCAGAACAAGGGACTTAGTCCCACCCCACTAGCAACAAAAAAGACAGAAATGAACAAAAACAGTCAGAATTTTTAAGTTTCTGTGACTTTTAACAACGAAAATAAAACAAAACACCAAAATGCAATTAAATTAGGTTATGATACTATACCACAGTGAAGATAGTGCATGGATACAAATCGTGATACCCCGAGACGCGGAAGGAACAGTTAGGAGAGTTAAGCTTGCTTGGGAAAGTTTGCAAAGGACAGAACTTGATTCCATGGTTTATAAATAGGGGGCGGGAAGAAGAGTGTTGCATAATTAAGGGAGTTTTAATTTGTTTTTACCCCATGTTTTAATGTGATTAAGTCCAGAAGCTCAGATTGAATGAACATGCAGTATGCATGGACAAAAATGAAACACCTGCTGCTTTTGACTGGAAAACCACTTAAGAGATACAGGCATGTGGAAAACATTAATAAAATTGATCTAGAAGAAACAGTTTGTGAGAACGTGTGTTGCACTGACATCTGGCTCGACGATGCTTACACTTCTGATGGCCTACTAAGTATGACCAAGGAGTGCAGATGAACAACAATAGTAAAAAGGAAGCAGTCTTCTGGGATTTGGCATCGTGTATATGTGGTGTTAACCGACGTTTCGGAGGAACGTATCGCCCCCATCTTCAGGGTTGAAGAAAAAGTTTAAGAAATCTGCAAGCGACAACACCGTGAGAAACGGTAAAGCACGGTGTTGTCGCTTGCAGATTTCTTAAACTTTTTCTTCAACCCTGAAGATGGGGGCGATACGTTCCTCCGAAACGTCGGTTAACACCACATATACACGGTGCCAAATCCCAGAAGACTGCTTTCTTCATAGTCACCGCCGTGAAAGCCTCAAATCTTAAACAATAGTAAAATTTGGCAAAATGAGTTGTGGAGATGTCAATTGTTTGAGAGATTGGAGGTTCACACGGTTGTGACTATAAATAGTACTGTGACATGATGCCTGAGAGTCGCAATAGCGGAACCAGAGTAGACGTTCATTGCTACGCAACTACTTGGTAACCAGGTTCCCGCGGAAATGAACACGTACGCAACAATACGAGAACTGCCATTTATATTCAACGGTGAGGTAAACACACTTCTATAACAAGAGAGAAATTGTTAGGAAAATGTGTTTTCTGTTGGAGCCGACCCGAGGCTATATAACGAGGACTACAGCCCAGCTAAAATAATAAAAATTCTGTGTTGAGAAGGGGTCAAATACCTCCACTGTAGCCCTGCAAGTCGTAGGAGGCGAAGAAAAGGGACCCCAATGCCTGGAGGTATAACGGGGCCACCCTGTTCTGGGGGATATAAATACGGAGACCTGGCCCTCCACGTTGTGGGAGTCTCGAATCTGAGACAGTAAAATATGGTCATGAGACCCGCGGGACTCGGACCTGAGAATGACCGCGCTGGCTTGGGCCTGCAGGTATTGTAAACGACACACCCGTCTTCTCGTCAGAGAGGATATTACATAAGGACTATAACTGCATGTGTTCAGTTGGAAAATAAAAATTCAGGTCGTGGGTCTCAAGGGGCTTGTCGCCAAGGCTAACTGATTGGCGGTAAATCGCCATTCGTAAAGTAACTCTGACTGAGATTATAATTGAGGGAGTCTCTTGGAGTCTGCAGTAGAATATGATTTAGAAGGGATGACAATTGAGAGTTAGTTGAGTTGCAAGAGTGTAATTTAAAAACTTGATTTGTAGTTACAGTGGGACTGTTATAAACCCGTTGCCAGGATACGACTACTGAAGACTGAGAACCCTAGTGTGTGTGTGTGTGTGTAATACCTGTAAAATCTGTAGATCAGCGATAGCGCTGTAATTATATGCAGTTCCGGGTGGTATGTATAAGAGGTCAGTAAAACCAATCAGCAAATGCAAACCCCGTCTAATAGTCACACTCACCCCTAATACGTGATAGTACTGTCTTCTGGGGTATGAATCCGTGTGGTCCGGTAGAAGATTACCGACGCTTCGGAGGACAGTCTTCTCTCTATCTTTAGGGTATAAGAAATAACAGTGACTTTTTACCCTGAAGACGGAGGCAGCACGGTCTTCCGAAACGTCAGCGAACTTTAAAGGACTACAAGGTGTTGCATCCCAGGAGACGGTATTCTTCTCTGACTGGCTCACTCCGGTTCGGTGTCTACTGATTGCCTTTTTCTTGCTCAAACGAAATCCGTGTACCACTGCGGTAGTAATCTGATAGCTTATCTAATGAGCTGGAATGAATGAAAGAGCGCTTTCACTTGAAGCCCAGTTTGTACTCAGGAGGTATCACGCTCAACACTAAACATGTTATTGAAATGTTTGTGGGTTTCCTTGTTGCCTCCAGATGAATACTG